GAAACAAAACTTGAAATCACAGGCTAGATCCAGACATGCAGGCACGTGTAATTTATAGTGCCACAAGCCTCTTTGTGTCACCATAAACTGCATGTATTCCATGTCAAACTGTGCACAATGCTGCTAATTCACAGCACTGGGACAAAATTTGCCACCAGGATTTCCCAATAGCAACAAAAAACAAACAAACAAACAAACAAACCTGTGAAAAAAAACCCAAAAGCTGTGCAAAGCACACCAAAGAGCTGTGTGCTGGGACAAACGTGGGGATGGGGAAGCAAGCAGTCCGGGCCTGCTTGCTTCCCCATCTCCATGCACTATGAAGACCCCGCACTGTGGCACCAAAGGAGCAGCTGGCTGGGGTGCAGCGTGCTTGAAGATGGGGGAGCAGACAGCCCAGGGAGCTGCGGAGCCCCTACACTGAGGCACCCGCACAGCAGTGTGCTGGGGTGCAATGTGTCTCCGTGGGCTGCCTGCTCCCCCACCTTGAGGCACACTGGGGAGCAGCCAGCCAGGGCATGAGATGCCTTGTTGTAGAGGCTCCGCAGCAAGCCCCCTCCACCCAGGGCTGCCTGCTCCCCCTGTCTCCGTGAGCTGCTGCTCCCCAGCTGGTTGACGCACAGGATGCCTCAGCATGGGAGCTGCCTGCTGACTAGACCTGCGCTGAGGCACTCTGCACCCCAGCCAATCCCCTCTGCAGCCCACGGAGCAGCAGGCCAATGTGTTCCTCTGCAAACTGTACAAGCAGTGGTGTGTGCTGCAGCACAAAGTAGAGACACAAATTTATGCCACTACTATTTGTGCTGCTGCAAACACACGCCCTAGCTCGTGTGGACATGGCCATAACTTGTTTGCAGCTGACACCCCACACAGGGCTATTTGGCCAACTCATTCAGACAGCCAGACAACCAGAGTTTGCCATTAGCTCAACCTCAGGAGACAGACTCCTTGTCCTTTTTTTAAGGCAATACAGAATCCCAAGAACTCAGACTAGGTGGTCTTGCACAGAAAATTCTAGAAATGACAGCTTTTGAAAATATTCAAACTTCCCCACACACAATAAACATTTTTGTGCTAAAGTGTCAGTGGGAAGGAAGGGGCATCTAGTTTCCTGGGTACCTGAGTGGCTCATGTAACTTGTGGTGGGCTCCTTCGCATTTTTTGCAAGCGTACAAGCACAGTTGTACTGAAGAAGAATACGATTTAGAAGTCTGATATTAAATAGACAGGAAAATTTATGGCTTGTCACAACTTGTTCCTTGTGTCTAAGTAAGGATAAAATGAATGCAGAATCTCTGCTGGTGGACTTCATGCCTATAAGGGAAAATGAGATAGCCTGAAGTCTTTGCAGATCATCTTTAGGGTAGGAACATACTGCTCCTTCATAATGAAAAGCTAATAAAACTGAAGCCAGATGATTAAAATTCATTCCACCACCTTTCTTTCATTCACAAAGAAACTTACAAGTACATTCTGCAAGTTTGGACACTATCCCAGTGTGCCTCTGCTGTGTTCAGAGAGGACTCTACCTACTTCTTTAACAGGACAGAAAATCTTCCATCTTCAAGTCACTGAGAAACAGCAAATGCAGAGCTGTCCCCTAACACCCCTTTATAATGAAAAAACACTTTTCAAAGAAAAAAACCCTCTTCTACATGTTACCTTTTGGGCAATTTGCATAGAACAAAGTAATTAAATGAAGCAATATGTGGATCAGTCAAAAAGGAAGTTCATGTTATAAAGAGTTAGTGCCTAAGCATGTTAAGAGAAATTGCCATCCCACAATATCAGCATCTGATGTAAAACAGCTGAAGGGCTGCAGCAACATGCAAAAGAAATAATTTAATTGCTCTGTACCATGATACTAAAGGTTAAACTGCCAATGTAAAACAGAAAGATAGTGTTGGAACAGTAGTTCAGCAGTAATTTTCAAGTATTTGCAATAGGCGGGATGAGAAAAAGATCGTGGTTAATCTATCAAAATATCAGCAGGAATTTATGACAACTTAATCCATAGAAATTATTTGCACAAAACAAATCTCTCTGACAGAAGGAAACAATATTTGCACAAGCAAATAGTACCAAAGATGTAGTAATACGTGGTAATTGGTGAATTGTCTTTTTCTCACATTTACCTCCCTAGTGTTTTTCCTGTGGGAGGATCACACTAAACATGCCTATTTAGTAACACATACAAGCCTTGCTTTAGATTCTGGCTTTATATAGTAGCATGTATGTAATTTACCAATTATATATCAAATTACATTAAAAACCCTGAATTAGTTGACAGTGCATGCAGAAAAGCTACTAGTCTTGTATATATATACTATTTTACATATTCATAATACTGTGAGTTTAAGTTTTATACATACACCCATATACACACGCATATTTTCACACACACACACACACACACACACACACACACAGTACACATATACAAATACTCACTTGCTCTTCACACAAACACAGACACACACGCACGCACCCTTGTTTAGCAAGTGGCACTTTGGCCTAGATTTAACAAATCTAGAAATACTTATATATCAGTTAAATGGCACATAATAAGATGTAATGATATGTTTTCGAAGCTGAAGAATAATCATGTC